ATAGGAGACAAAACCAGAGCAGGTACCACACAGAGAGCCACAAAGAGGAGCTTGTGCGTCAAACAGTGACGGAGCTCAAAACAAAAAGCCTGCAAAAGAGAAAGTAGAGAGAGAGAGAGACGGAGAGCAGAGCATATTGCACTTTAATATAAGCAGGATTTGTTACTTTGAAGTGTTTCTCAGTGAAATGTTTTTGAGGCTCATTTTAAGGTGTTTTTTCCTGAGCTGCTGCTGCAATCAGCCTTTGTTTTCCAGTCACTGAGCAGAATAATGAGGTGGGATTGACTCTTTATTTTCTCAGCTACTTTGCACATTTACAACACATTGTCTTGGCCCTATTTTTTTCCCTTATTGCCCTGTAGTCTATTTATTATTTTCTTTTCTAGTCGGGTCCAGTCTAGTCTGGTTTTCCCATAGTTTGCCCTTTCATCTCTGTTGCGTCCGACAGTGGGGTCGAGCCTTCACATCTCTACGTGTTGCACCAGTAAACAGCCCACGTACAGTAGAGTCCATGTGTGAAGCTGTCCTTCTTCATCTTTGTCACTCTGTCCTTATCTGTCTGCAGCAATCAGATGCAGATTATGTTTCTGTGTTTGTGTCTTCATGAACATGTTGACACTTCTGTCCCTGCAGAATGCCTGATCATTAGAAAAAAGGATGCCACATACTGCGAGTTAGTATGTGTGTGTGTTGTCCTAGGGAAGATTGGAGGTCGTAGTCTGCAGTCCAGACAAGTGTCGCCACCACCCTCTGGATCTCGAGTCACTGTCTGAGCGTTTATCTGTTTGCGTACTGTGAAGCAATCAACAGCGTTCACATTATGTCATCAGCTCTGGTTTGTCAGCTTTTCTTTTTTCCCTACACAGCTGAGCTACCATTTTTGTTTGCAGTGAGGGTGGTTGTCGATAACAGTCAAGTTAATAATGGTTGAACTAACCCAGCGCAGACTGTAGAGTAATTTTATCATGACAGGAGAGCAACAATGATCTTAACGTTCACTTCATTTAATCCAGGACTTCTCACAAAGCACATCACTTACTGTTTTATCATATTCTTCTTGTTTTTATTTTATTTTATATCACTACTTTTATTTACTTTTCATTTTATATACTTTATATGACTGTTTATTGTTGTCTGTACCTCATCTGTGTTCTTTGTTTGAAACAGGTCTCTCTTGTGTGAGTCCTCGTGACTCAACGTGACTAACCTGTATAAATAAAGGTTGAATGAAAAAAAAGTGCTTATAAAAATCTTCTCAGTGTTTCTTTAAGACTTTCCGATGTTTTTTATTATTCTGAATTCTTGTACGATCCAAAGGTCTAAAAAAATATGTTTTGAAAATTAAACCTGATTATTGAGCTAATGGCTATTCAAGAAGACCAAAGTGGATTGTTGCCAGCTCCACGATTGTTCACCTGTGAACACTTATAGCAGTAGCAGCTAGCTCTAGCACTTGTGGGGCAGAATGGTAACCTTCTGCAGGAAGTCTGTAATCAGTCTACTAGAACAATTATACATTGTGAAATGGACAGAGATGAAAATGTTCATTAAAAAAGACCTTTATATGAACCACTCTTTAAAATTTGAGTCCTTTTGTTGGTAAACAGCAGCACTTCACTTTGGTCTTTGCTCGAAGTACAAATTAGCTTGTCAGTCCAGTCTGAATTAAGCTTTAATTGTCCAAACTTCGTATGTTCAAAATGATATCTACAACAGGAAAGATATTATTGTTTTTAACTTTTCTACAGAACCCCACTTAAAAAGACTAATGGCCTCATGTACAACGACTTACATGGATTTTCTACTGAAACATGGTGTACGTTTAAATTGAGAAAACAGCATGCGCACAAATAAATGAACGCATGAATCAAAGCACACCTTCTTTATACACCCCGATCAACGTGGAATTGAGCGCACATGAGGGAATACCAAACTCCTCCACTGACACCCCCCCATTTAAATATGCAAATATATTTAAATTTGACCTGCACCTGAGGAATCTCCTCTCTGCACTATCGAAAAGCATTTCATGGTAAAAAGAGGAACTTCATGGAATGTGTATTGGAGACGTTTCTAAATGAGGTAGAGGCACGTAAGAACAATCTGCTTGGCACTCTTTCCTCTGGCATTAGCACCAAGCACAAGAGGAGTGAGTGGGCCAATGTGTCCAAAGCTGTAAGTGCTGTGGGGTGAGAGCAGCGCACACCCACAGAAATTAAGAAAAAATAGTCAGATGTCAAGGTGGATGTGAGCGAAGGACAACTGCCCATCGCCACTTACATGAACTACACTGTTATTGTAAATGAATGCAGCAGTGCGCCGGAGAAAGGTTGATTTCACACTTTACACATGTGTTTTATTGACATAACTACTACACATACAGAAGCAATCAGGAGCTTGATAGAACACTTTGAAACTGTAGATTAACCAGCAAAAACAGGAAACCACTCACTTGAACCACTAACTAGTAATCCTGATACATGCTCAATAACCCAGGTAGAAAAATCCAAAAAAGTTCAATCTGGTCCTCTGGACATTCAAAAAACAAGAAAACAAAAAAGACAAAAAACAAAACAAAGCAAAAAAATGTAGAAACGTTTCGTCTCTCATCTGAGAGACTTCCTCAGTCTGAGGTGCTGTATTCAGCTCAGTCTCTTAAATAGCACCTTCTCAGAGTGGATCAACCAGTTTGCTGCTGACAACCAAAACCAGCTGCTCACATGGTCATGAAGGACCATCAGCCTAACAATGGATCATTAGCACACTGATGGCTGTTTACTATTCACAGGGGGTTGAGTGATACTAGCAATAACAGCATTGTAAGAGGGGGACAGTTGAACCCGGAGGCCTCCACCCCTGTTTAATGATGGACGATTTCTTTTCACAAAGATGGCCTCCTTTACTCTTCTCTCAAACCATCGTTCCTCTCTGTCCAGGATGTGAACATCTTCATCCCTGAAAGAGTGACCGCTGGCCTGGAGATGAGTGTAGACCGCAGAGTCCTGGCCTGATGATGTTGATCTTCTGTGCTGGGCCATCCTTTTGGCCAGTGGCTGTTTAGTTTCCCCAAAAGAATCCCAAAGATCCAGTCCCCCGGCACAAACAGAGTAATATTGTATATGCTGTTCAGTGTCAGGAGGGCTGTGTCTTACATCGGGGAAACTCAGACTCAGACTGAGGAAGTCTCTCGGATGAGACAAAACGTTTCTACATTTTTTTGCTTTGTTTTGTTTTTTGTCTTTTTTGTTTTCTTGTTTTTTGAATGTCCAGAGGACCAGATTGAACTTTTTTGGACTAACTAGTAATGATACGGTGAAGACAGGATGATACGTGGGGGCGCACAGGCTCCATGCGCATTAGGGGGATTAATATTAGGGCGATCAAATGAAATTACTCACTAAGAAGCCACCCATCCAGCTTGTAGTCTGTTCCCAACCAGGCTGTTGATTAGAATGAATGAATCGTGTGTTGAACCAGTCCATCTCGCCACCATGTTGGTGAGCTGCTTTTGAACATCACATATAATTTGCACATTTACTGAATGAAAATGCTTCCTGTTAAGATTAACATATTCATCCTGTGATGGTGCTTTTATAGCAATGTGTGCGCAGTCGATAGCTCAATCACATTAGGAAAACCAGCTGTCAATACAAATTGCACTTTAATGTTGGCCTGGTCATCTGCATTGTAGGGAACTTGATATACCTGGTAGACATATTGATAACTACATCTCTCCCAGCTGGCATGGCTCTGCTCAGGGTGGACTGGCACTGTCCCGATGGGTCTGCCAGCTCCCTCTGGAATGCCCCTGTTGCGGGAACCCCAGTGTGGTCAGCGGCTGTATGTGCACGGGCAGCGCACGGCTCTTTGCTGTGCCGTGTTCCAAGACCGACCGCAGATCCAAGTACAGTTCTAAAAGGACTGCCCTTGGAAGCCTAAAACAGTCGTCATTGTGGACCAGAAAATCCTCTCTGTCTCTAAATACTTGCTCTCTGCATATTGCACCATTTCTCTAATAAGACTAAAGTCGTTGTTTTTAAAGGTATTTTCTGCACCACTTTAACATGCTTTTATAGCCACTCATCTAATTTCATACATGTAAATTAATTAATGTATTAATTGTTCATTGTGTGTGTCCGCTGTGCACAATAATAGTTTTCACATCATTAGCAGCTTCCCTGTATCACCTCCAAGTGTCGCCAATGGACCAATAACCATAGAAACGTGCATACGCCAGCCATGAAGCTGGTGTTGAGCTGCAAACGTTTCCATCGTCATTTAATTCTTGATACATCTGAAGTTTTGTGCGAAAAAGGGCGTACGCACCCTTTGTACATGAGGCCCTGAGCGCTCTTGTTAAGCTAAAAGCTACTTCTGTAAAAGAACAGCAGCAAGTGATGAAACACAGTTTTTAAATTATTATTTTTTGTGGAAAACAGGTTTCAAGTCCTCTTGATCGTCTTTGAAGGTGAATTTATTTATTTACTAAGCTTTGTACTATAAATTTTGGTTAGGTTAAATCAACTTAATGGAAACATTGCTTATTTATTTATCTGCAAGTATAGGTGGTAATGATGTTTGTTTTTTTAATCCAGCCTTGTATTTCTGCAGAGGAAAGTTTTCTCTATAGATTTTATATTGAAATCTCTTTTTGGTGTAATTTCTCTCGTACATGCATTAAACACCAAATCTCTGTAATAAATTCCAGGTAACAGAACCATTAGAGGAAGGTAAAAATCAGGTGTCCTTCTTGCTAATTTAATATTAGCATTTAACATTCCCATCATGGCTGCTTGATCTGGTGTAATGTTAAAGTCAGGAATCATACTGAGCATTGAATGATGGCCCATGATCACATCCAACTTGCTTGTTCATCTATTTCTTATTCATCCTGACATTCATATGGAAATACAGCATTCCCTGTCTTTCCCGTTAGTATTCAGTGTTAGTATATCCAATGGTATACAGTCGGTGCATATTGGCATGTCTGTCCCACTCACCTGGAGCCTTGAGCGAGGTGTACTTGTTGAAACCAATTCCCAGGTTGTTGTGAGGGTGAGACAAGGCCATGGCCGGTCCCAGCGGGGATAAAGCTGCATTGTTCAAGTGGTTGTGATCTAACAGAAACAGAGAAAACAGAGAGGGGGTTTTCTCTAGAGGAAGCAACTGCATTGCAAAATGTTAGGAAAGTGCACTTCTCTCCAATTCTGATCTCATGTGCCTTTTTTTTCTTCTCTTGAATGAATCACCTTTACTTCAGACCCAGAATGCAAAGTCAAACATTAACAAATCTGTTATTTTGTAGGAAGACTGCAGGTGTGAAAACATTTATGCATCTCTAGACTCCCTAATGGCATCAATTTGTCACCTTAAAAATAACAAATGTGAAGCATTTGCTTGTGCAGGTTACCCAGGATTGATGTAAGCACTATCCAACAAAAGCTGACAGTTTGAGTCCAAGCAGGCGTAGCAGATTAGAAAACTTAACCCCCAAAACCCAAAGCTGGACTATATAGTCACATTTATCATCTCTGTATAAACTATTCATTCAAACAGATTGAAATAAAGTATATTGATGATATCAAAGATTTGACATAAAACATACTATATACATAAAATGACAGTTAACCCATTGACCATCCGTAGAGGCTGATAACTGCAAATAAAACAAGTGTCAAGATTTTTAGTGTTTTAGTTAGTTGAGAAACCTGCTTGAATTCAGAATCAATGTCAAGAAAACATGCTCATCTGTGCAGATAATATCTGTGAGAGTACAATTTTGTGTCCTACTTTTGCAATAGAAAAATCTACGCTCATCATTAGGCAAACCAGTTTAAATGCTTGTTCACACAGATGGCTAATCAGCCAATCACAGGACAGAAACGTGGTGAAGATGTGGAGAGAACTTGTCAAAGTTTAAACTGAGCATCAGAATGGGGAAGAAAGGGGAATAAAGAGACTTTGAATGTGGTGTGGTTGTTAGTGGCAGATGGGTTGGCCTGAGTATTTCAGAAAATGCTGATTGACTGGGATTTTCATGCACAACCATTTCTAGAGTTTGCAGTGAATGGTAAAAAAAAAAAAGAAGTAAATATCCAGTGAGCGACATTTGTGTGGACTAATATGCTTTGTTGATCTCAGTGGGGCATGGGGAAGCTTGATCCAAGATGATAAAAAGACAAAAGTAGCTCAAGCAACCACGTTTGAACCAAGGTACCCTTATGCAAATGAACCTTGACGCAGGGCTACAGTTGCAGAAGACCACACTAGAGGCTAGGCTTGTCACTGTCACAATAACAAATTTTGCTGGACGATTAATTGTTACAGAAATTATTGTGATAAATGATAATATTGTTTGAAATTTGACAATAATTAGTAATTATTGTCAAATTTAAGAAGAAATGTTGGTTAACTTGTTTTGCGTGTAGTACCTTTTTTTGACCACCAGTCAAGTATAAGTATAAGACTGTTAGAACTGAAGGATGGATAGTGAGGGAGTGAGCGTGTCTCTTTAAGAAAATGGGAGAGAGGCACCTTTACATGACATGGGCTATCTCTCCTTTCGTATTTATTTTTTTTTTTTCAGTTTTCAAAATGCCGGACGCTCATTGTTGATTGAGCTCTTTAGCATAGCATTTTTCACACAAAGCTTTTAATTAAAAAAATCAGTAAACAAGTTCTCAGCTTCTTTTTGCAGAGAAAAACAACTTTTTACACGAGGCACGGGTTTCAACCATGAATTTTGGAGCTTGGACAAGATGGAGGCTTTTTCCCGAGGTTGGCCTGTTAGCTTAGCTTCTTAGCTTAGCTGCTTTTAATGATCCAAAAACGTGATTTTGGACGGTTAAAACAGATTTTAAAGAGAGAAGAGAAAGGGAGGGCTCAGTAGGGCTGGGCCACATCATATAGTTTATGATAATACCGGTAAAAAAAGCTCGCCTGGGCAAAAAAATAATATCATGATATGCTAATTTCATGACATAATACTTCTGGGCACCCCGCCCCCTTTAACAGAACCGTGTGCGCCCAACGACCAAACCGAATTGCGCACACACACCCCTTCCACCTGTCGGTACTGGTGTGACGTTAAATAGTTGCACGCAATACAAACTAAAAAGCTAAAAACAAACAACGCGCAGCTCGGCTGTCTCTCCATCCAGCTCTAAACTGCAGGTACAGACAGCTCAACTGTCTCTCCCCTCACCCCGCTCTAAGCTGACACTCGTCTTTTTTCTCTCTCTCCGCACCCAGCTCTGAGCTGCCGGTGCAGGCTGCGTCTCCTCCGCTCTAAACTGCCGTACAAGCATGCACAGGTCTGTATCTTGAGTTCCACAGTCCATGGACCAAGAACAGAGTCAGGTGATCAGAGACAGAGCATCAGAGAAATGGATCATTCCTGCAGGAACAGAGGAAGCTGAACCACCACAAGCTTCAGGGCCAGCTGATCACCTCGTTACACGTTCTGGAAGTTATAGCTCATTTAAAGGCAACATGTTTTTGTTGTTTGTTACATTTATGCTCAACAGATCTTAAACTTTCATTTTATTTTATTTAGTTATTTTGGGAAACTTCACATGCACTTTAGTTTTTGTGGTAGATTTATTGATCTATATTTTGTGCAGACTTTTTCAATTTAAATAACAGAAGGATCTTTTTTTATTTTTATACTTGGAGACTGAACACTTTACTAAATAAAATAATTTCAGTAAAATTACCCCTTGTTTTTTAAATTTTGTATAATAATGCAAAACAACATGTTAAGTTAATTTAGTCAAATAACTATGATTTCTGTTTTTTTTTGTTATATCACGAAATATATCGTTATCGTCAGAATGCTCTGAAATATCACAATATAATATTTGAGCCATATCGCCCACACCTAGGGGTCAGTGAAGAGCACCAGAGTTGAGCCTTTTGTCATTCAGTGTCTTCAGTAGAAAGAGAGATACACAAAAAAATGATAAAGCCGATAAATGAAAATGAGGTCGATAATTTTCATTTATCATGCGATTAACTGATTTAATGGTTAACACGACAGGCCTACTAGAGGCCACTCCTGTCAGCTAAAAACTGGAAAATAAAACTACAATTTGTACAGGCTGACCAAAATTTGACAATATAAGATCGGAAATATATTGCCTGGTCTGATAAATCTCGATTCAGTGTTCTCCCAGAGTCACCAGATCTCAATCCAGTCGAGCACCTTTGGGAAGTGTTGAAACAGTAAATTACCATCATGGATGTGCAATTGAAAAATCTGTGATAACATGTTAATATGAACCAAACAATCTGAGGAGTGTTTCAACTTGTTCAATCTATGCCACAAAGAATTAAGGCAGTTCTGCAGGCAAAAGGGGGTCCAGCTCGTACAGTCAACATGTACCTAATAAAGTGTCTCACAGAAGATTCTGATTGGAAGAATGTCCGCATCATTTAAACCTGTATTAAGACTTTTAAATAAATTCCCCAACTATTTGGCAATTATTATGTTGGATGCCCTTCCTAACAAAACCTAAGCTCTAACCTGCATCCTCAGGATCACAAGACTGCAGCACTGACCAATGAGATACCACGGCCCACACACAAGAACATGTTTTTTTTAAATTAGCCTCATGTATAATTAGCAGCACAGTTCGCTGATCGCACTCAGAAATCTGCAACAAAAAATTCTCCCATTAATGTGTAATTTGGAGTCAACAAACTGACAGTCACAGCTCAGGCACAACATCACCGCTGTCTACCACAGGTAAGATACTTACTACTCATCGGAGCTCCACAAACACAACTTCACCATCCTTGTCAAGGTGCAAGGTGGTACATATGTTTAGAAGACAGGGAAACTTTAATATATTTGAAACCAAAAGCAAAGTTTCACATGTTTACCAGAAGAACCACTTCTGTACATGAATGAGTATTTTTCTGAGCCGCACCTTTAAATACAGAAATAAAATCCTTATTTTTCTGTGTGCTCACAACATTTTCAACCTTAAAATGCCCTTTGGCCTGTTGAATAAACTGGGTCACTTCTCTCCAAAGCGTCATCTCCCCAGATGTATAAAACGCAAATCAGATGGTTTCCAGTAGGGGAAGAAGTTGCAAATGCAGTTTCACACACACATGCATCATAAACGCACAAACCTAACCCCCACTGTGTTCACTAGCCCCACAATAACCGAGACGCATCAGTGAAAATCAAGCAAGGGGGTGGTGCAAGTATAGAAATGCCAGGCAGAAAAATCAACAGAGCAAGGAATGTGACACCAGCAATGACTGATTGAATTAGAAATAGATCTTCACTTGCCGGTGCAGTTGATACGCAGCAGTGACACAGTGTGTGTGCAGCGCGTTGTGAAGGGGAGGCCCAACTGCGTGATGCAATTTCAGCCTCACGTCGCTTTCTGAGTGCACTCAAAATGTGACACAGAAATTTAACGTTGCGTAACTTTCACTCAACCCCCAAAATAAAAAAATAAAATGAAACTTGTCCGTGCACGTTTAGAGCAATAGTTTCCCTCTTCGGGTGTTCTTCTAGAAAGTCAACAGTGGAAATAATTAAATTGTGAAGAAGAGTGAGGAACGATGAGTTGAAAGCAGAGATGGACAGGGAATAAAATGCCAGCTAATTGATGGAAAGGTCTCTGGCTGGTCTCCAGTTTGACCACAGGGCTGTTCCCAGCCACCAGAGAAAGAGAGACACAGTTTGTTGTGTTATTACATCATGGATGTTGTAAAGAACAAAGCAGTTACGTTTGCCTTTATTTCACTTTTTATGGAACGTGCTTTGATAGTGCTATACCTGATAACAATCATGATTATAAAAATCACTAAATGGATCAGATAGCATGGGACTTTTTATTTTTTATTTATTTAGAGTAACTCTTGAGTAAAACTTTTGCCTTTGAAATAATTAGAGATTACTAATAGATTATTGCCTATTAGAGATAAAGTTAGAGAGGCCAGACTGAGACGGTTTGGACATGTCCAGAGGAGGGACAGTGGGTATATTGGTAGAAGGATGTTAGAAATGCAGCTGCCAGGAAAAATACAAAGAGGTGATAAGTTAGAGAGGGCATGGAGGTAGTTGGAGTGAGGACAGAGGATGCAGAGGACAGAGCTG